CTCTTTCTTGGATTTGTTGCTCACCTTGTCAATCAGCCATTATATCAATTTGAGCAAAACCTTATTGATTTTCTCATCTTAGTCTTCAAAATGTTTTCTCAATCTCTAGATCACAAGATACAATCTCCAAACTTTTTGCTCTTCTCATACCATGATGAAACATACCTAAAATACAAAGAAAGAAAAACTTGAATTAAGACAAATCTATGAGTATTAATATTAGCAAAATAAATAAGAAACACAAATCCACGACAACGATGTCGAAAACTTCTTGTTGATTTAGTATACATAAATATACGTATCGAATAAGTAATATGAATAGTAAATCCATAATCATATCCCACAGAGATTTACTCCTAATCTTTCACTAAGTACTAAAATTATGATAGAGTAGCTCAATTATATAGAAATCAATTAAAACTAAATTCAATCAGACAAAAAACTAATTAATAGAAACTCAAAATTTATTAGGGAAAGAAAATGGACTAAAACTTAAGATTATGGGTTCATTCAACATTTCATCTAACATTTGTTTGTCTCATTATTTACAATCATGGGCGGTTTTGCTAACATAAAATCCAAAACTATGCACAAGTTTTTGTCAAGATGTTTGCATAAATATCTAACTTAATTGGTTTACTATATGTCTACAGTAATCAATTAAATAAGGTTCATTAAGCTAGTGCTCTAATTTGGCATTTAGGAATATATTTACCTTAATTGCGAATCAAATCACCTAATCTCTAAGTGACATGAACATACACTATTCAAACTTTAGTCCAATATAAATTTACTCTATTGAGTCTCATTCATATTCATAAATCATTCAATTATTGGCCATACAATCAAAAGCATTACAAACCAATTTGAATAAACATAACCATACCCATTCGTAACAAATAAAAAAGAAACAAATACTCCTATTACATAATGAAATACACCACAATCCTAAAAAAATAGTTTAACTCATAATATCTAATAAAAACATTATCGAAAAAAAATTAGCTATTAATCCAAGTCAAAAAAATTAAGAGAAGAACAAAAGTAAGAGAGAAACTAATAGTTAAAATTTTTTTATCGCAATTTTCTCTCATATTCTCTTTCTTTCTTGTTTGTTTTTGACTTTTCTTCTCCAGAATAGTTGCTTGCCATCCTTTCTTGAAAACCTTTGACAAAGGTCACTTAAATAATCCATAAAGCCCTAGTTTACAAAAATCCCATAACAATTTTATTTTTGGAAGTACATCTGGCACCGTGGCCTTGCCTTCCTTTGTGCCACAGTGTCATAGTCTCAAGATGAAGTATAGTGCCCAATTGGCTTATGGCATCACGGCTCTACTTTCCTCAACATTGCGACCCTCTACTTTTAGGTGAAGTATGGGAGCATCACTTCCATCAGTGCTGCAATCTCACTTCTTTAGTGTCACAGCGTTGTACTATTTGGTTTTTGTATAAGTTGCAGGTGCATCTTGGGACCACAGCCTTGAGTAACTCAAGGTCACAACCTTCATTTTCTTATAATGCCTTGTGTAGAACTATAGCAATCAAGCCTCTTCCCAACGTGATTTTTACCTCATTCTAATCTGAACAAGGTCAAGCGATAAAAGTAGAAGTTGTATCCCAATCTCTTAGCTTTCCAATGACTTAAGAATCACATCAACTAAACTTCTATAGATCAAGTTATCCTCAAAATACTGCAAAATGTATTAATAAAGCCATCACCATAGTTACATATATTTTCATCAAATTAAGACATTTTCATCAAATTTCCTACAAGAGTAAAAAAGTAAATCAACAATAACTAGACTTAAAGTAATTTAAAGCAAAATAATATAAAATTAAACTAACATACTTAAACTAACTAGTTAATATGTATTAAACTAAATTAGGCAAAATAACTAGAATATTTAAATTTCAAATGTAAAATCTCAAAAACTTAACTATTCAAGCCATAAAATGTGACAAAATAATTCTAAATAATAGAGTTATCATCAACCACTGTCGCAAATGATCCCAACTTCCTCCTCTTTCTTCCTTATATCAAAATCCAAAAAAGAGGAAGAAACCAAAAACCAAGAGGGACAAGTTGAAATTTTTTGGGTTTTTCTGAAAATGATTTTGTTGGTTTTTTTTTCTTTTTTAAAGGTAAATTACACCTGCCTTCTTAAGTTTTGATTGTAATTCAATTTTGATCCATTAAAAATAAACAATCTGTCTTAAAATAATATAAGTAACTAGACATATAAATCTTGCTGTTAAAGCTTTTTTTTTTTATGATGTGGCATAAATTTTATGCCTATTTTACCTTTGCCTCTTTTCCTATTTTCCTTTTTTTCTCTCATTCTCATTTTAGTACCCATTTGACCTGGCTTATATTTAGCTTTTTGCTACTTAAACGTAGAAGTTGGACCAAACAAGATTTCGTAAAAAACTCTTAAAAAAAAGTAACTTTTTTTAAAGAATAAAATCTTAAAAAAATAGAGCTTAAAAAAAGCTCCAATTAAGAGCTTTCTTTTATTTTATTTTTTAAAAAACACACCAACTTATTAAAAGAGCTATTTTTCTCAAAAAGATCCTCTCTCACAAAAAATACTCCTTCTCTCTCCCTATCGATCCCCCTTTCCTCTCTCCCTTTCAGAAAATCACCATTCTAAGTTTTTTTTTTGTTCTTATAAAAAATAACAAAAAAAGATATACAAAATTCAAAATTGCATTCAAGTATTATTTTTTCTTTTTCTTTCTATTCTATTTTTCATTTTGTTTTCTATCTTTTTTTTTTGAATTTTGAAAAATCTTTTTATTAGTTGATATTTCTCAGTTTATTGTTTGATATGACAATTATGTAATGTTTATTTATTCTAAATAGATAAATGGTTGTTGAGATAAATTAGATGAAAATTAAAATAATATTTATTGATTATGGTTGTTGAGATAAATTAGATGAAAATTAAAATAATATTTATTGATTATGGTTGTTGAGATAATATTGTTCATGAAAATGAACTTTGTTAGTAAGGACATCAGTGATTTTCTTGAATTATTACTACCATCTTAGACTTTTCTTCTTCTTTTATGAGTTCTCTTTTATTATTAAGGTTAAAAATTTTAGTAGTCGACTCACTGTTTTCTTTTATTTCTTTTTTTTTCAATTTGATTCAATTTTTTTATTGATTTTATTTATTATTATTCAATAAAAATTATTTATGGATTATGTGTTACTTATAAATTATTTGTTGAACTCTTTTTTTATAATTTATTATAAATTATAAATTTTATATTATATAAAAATTCTTTTAATATTTTTAAAAATTTATTTTAAATAGATAAAAAATAAAATTAATTTTTTTTTATTTTAAACAACGAAATTTATAATTAATAAAAAATTATTTATTAAATACTTTTTATGATAATTTTAACTAAAATTAGAATTTATATAAGTTGTTTTACCAACAAACAACTTATTTATAAAAAATGTTTATAAAATGTAAATTTATCGAATAATTTTAATTTAATTTTAAAAATTATTATTTTTATAAAAACTTTTAAATTAAAAAAAAAAAAGGCACAACATGCTCTTAGTCTCCCTCTTAAGAACTTCTCTTTCAAAAGCCGGCGACATTTCCAGAATTGGGCATGTGGCCGCTGTCAGCATCGCCGCCTCCGGTCACCGGATGGCTATCGCCCGCCACTCGCTGATATCCAAAAACATCCCAAAGATCCCCTCGAACCTCTTTTCCAATCTATTAATTGGTAATTGGGTGGTATATAAAAACAGGTGGGATGAGAATGCGGAATGTCAGTCTCAACCCCAGCAAAAGAAAATTGTAAGGTTGGGAAAGGATTATTACATGAATACAAACTCCAGAATCTTCAAAAGTGCAGTCAAGTTTATCAACCCCCAATGGAGGGCCCTTTTGTCTCACCCAATTTAAAGCCTTGGGAGAAAACCTTTATCTGCACAAATTATTAGGAAAAGAAAGATGCGAAGGAAAAGGGTCAAGCAGACCTACAGTGACCTCATAACATCTCTTTAGGTAACAAAGTAAATTGATGTAGTTTTTTTCATGACAGTGTGAACATGCTTGGTTTCCCATTACCTGGTGGTGATCGCAATAGATGAATTTTTGTCATCGACGTAGAGGTAAGGTAGGTCTTTTGCCATTATTGTTTGTGAGTTAATGTTTGCAGTCGGCTGTTTTACTGACCAAATCGAGACAAAAATGCTATTTTTTCCCTGAAAAACAAGAAATCATATTATGAATGCTCAAGCAATAAGTTCCAGAAAAACTGCATTTAAACCACGATTCAGAACTTTTTAGACTTCTAAACTTAGTAAAACACACACAAAAGAACACTTGGCTCCATTACACCTTGATGGCATATTTCCTTAATGGTACGTGTCTTCTTGGGACAGAGATCCAAAGGAAAGAACTTCTTCTCATAAGCTTCTCGAAGGGTGATTTTTGCTTCTTCAAAATCACCGATTCTTGTTCTGTGGTTTGTGCTGCTGATTTATTGAAAGGGAAAAATACTTGGAAGATGAACATGTTCCCGTTGTGCTGTGGGTGAGTTTTATTGGTGCTAAGAATAAATTTTTCTTGAATTCAAATTTTGTTAGGTAGTGCTGCCTTGGCTAAGAGATGGCCGAGAGCAAGAATCAATTCTCTTTTGGTAGAGAGAAGACTGAGATGGGATAGAAGACTTGGCTACGAGATGGCCGAGAGCACGAATCATTCCGGCTTCCTTAGAGAGAAGCCTGAGATGGGATAGGAGCAAACGGTTGTCAAGTACATAATAGAGATAAGGACATTTTATTCTAATAGAATTAAAATGAATTTAATCTGATTTGGGATTTTACTTTAGGTTTTAGGGGGTAGGGGTTTGCGATGAAGGGTATAGGATATTATCATAACCTAATAAAAAAGGTTTTTATAGAAATTGAAATAAAGATTGACATATAATATATAACTAATACTAGTGCTCGGAGGGAAAAGAAAAAGTTCAATAAAAAGAGCAGCATGATTGGCATTAGTGCTCAAAGAGAAGATGACAAGGATGAAAGCTCAACATCAGCTATTTTAGTGAGTTGTTGAGGTTCATTAACAGCGCACATTCATTACATAAATCTCAACAACGCATACCACCATGAGACTAGCAGGCAACGTGTTTTCCGCCGTCTTTTTATTAGTGCCCTACTGGCACTCGCATAGTTTTCATTTGACCTCAGCTGACTGGGTGACAGCTGGTATTAGAACTTGTCGCGATACCAGAAAACACCTTTGCTACCAGCATCCTCATCAGGTTCAACATAAAGACACTCTTTGGCCTCCCTCCACATAGCCTTGTAAACTGGAGTGCCATCAAAACGATAATACTTGCCCAGTATGGGTTTGATTACTTTGGTGGCCTCCATTGCATGATAATGTGGCATTGTTGAGAAGAGATGGTGAGCCACATGTGTATCTGTGATGTTATGAAACACTTTATTCAACACCCAATAATCTCTATCAACAGTTGCCAGAGCTCCCCTTAGCCAATCCCATTCGGATGAGTCATAATGTGGCAATGCTGGGTGTGTATGTTGCAAGTATGTGATCAAAACAAGAAACCCGTTCACTATTAGCAGCGGTACCCCATAGATGCATACAAGCCAAGCCAACCCTTTTGTTGCAGCAATGTTATAGAGCACATAAGTTGCTGCAAATATACCAGCATCGGAGATGTAAATTTGAAGCCTTTCTCGATCGGAGTAGATGGGCCCATGGGGATCAAAGTGGCAAGCAAAACGATCGTAGCGTCGGCCTGAAACATTGAAGGCTAAGTAGAGGGGCCACCCAAGGGTCAGTGTGACTGCAAGGGACACAACTCGGCCTGGTGGATTGTTTAGGTATCTTGAATACCATGATACTCTAGACTTGGGTTTAGGCACAAACACTTCATCTCGCTCCATGGAACCTGTGTTAGAGTGGTGGCGGCGATGACTATATTTCCATGAGAAGTATGGAACTAAAAGGGCAGAATGGAGGATCAGCCCAACAGTGTCGTCAACCCATTGGTAGTCACTGAAAGCATGGTGACCACACTCGTGAGCAATTACCCAAACACCTGTTAGGATGCAGCCTTGGAGAACCCAGTAGACAGGCCAAGCAATGTAGGAAAGGGAGTAAGGGAGGAGATGAAAATAAGATGTGGCAATGTAGTAGAAGAGAAAGGCCAAGCACAGGTCGTAAACAACATAGGAGAATGAACGAAGGATAGAGCGCTGAAAACAATGGGGAGGAACAGCCTTTTTTATCTGACTTAGAGTGAACGGAGGCTTCTCACAGGGCACTCGTTGGAGGGGACTTTCCTTTTCTTCATTCATGTTGCTGGGGTCAGGCATCCTTCCACCAGCACCCATTGTCACGATTTCCTTCTGTGCAAACCCTGGAAACTTGAAGCCGGATCAGCTCCAATTCTGATAACTAAAAAAATACACTTCAAACAGAAATAATAGAAAGTAATTATTTATTCAAAGGTTTTATAAGCAGATAAAACCAAACAATGTGCATATTAACAGTTGAGCTCATAATTAAAGAGGAAAAAAAATGTATTGAAGCAGCAAAAATACTAACAAAGAAAGTGATTGTCAAATGTTGAAAAAGAACATAAGAACTAAACTAGGGAACCTTTTAACAGAAAAAATACTAACCAAACTCTAACCAATATCGGAAAGAACAAGCAGTGTGAAATGTTGACAAAGAACTGCAATGGAAAATAAAAACCAGAAAGACATTGCCAAGCAGCATCAGAAAGTCCAAACTATTAGGGGTCCACCATAATCACTACAGGACTATGTGAGGCTAAAACAAATGTGACAGGTTAATGCAAAAAACACTACAGTCTTTGAGCAGATACTTCGGGGCCCAGCAGTTTAACTCTATCCCAACAGAGGCCTGCACTTCATGATCCTTACCATTGATGCTTAAATTTGCTGACCACCCATCAAACCTTTATGGAATCCATAAAATGGTGGAAAACGTCAAATGCCTTTGAAAGTGAAATTAATGTATGTGGAGAGAAATTGGTTCTCAAGTGCCGACCAAAAATAAATATAAAACTTTTATAGTTTACTTTCCTGCTTCAATCAAACAGAAGTGTGAGACTCGAAAATGTACAAAATCCATATTTAGAATTGAAATTCTGAAAATAAGTTGAAAGGTTCATATGAAAGTATGAGAAAAATCTCAAATTCATGCCATTACTGTAGCTTAATGAGCTAAAAAGAACCATTTAATTGGGAAAAAAAACCATTGCCCTGAGATGCATACAATTGGCTTGTTAGATATAACAGTAAATTTGAAGAAAGTTTCGTGTTGGAAACCACCTTTCTGTTACCAATACCATGTCTGGTTGTCTTTGGCATGTTTTTACCTTTCTCATTAGAAAAGCATACCCAAAAATAGAATAAAAAAGATTTGCATGAAAAAGCCAACAATACCACTGGCCTTGTCCTGAGGCCAAAAATCTTTCATCTAAAGATGGTTGAATGTGAAATGCTGGCAGGTAATTTTAATGCATGCACTCATCCCATCAAATATAATATAAACAAATCAGAAATTGTGGCCTACAAAATGTAAAAAGAATGAGAAAAATAAAAAAGTTATTGGTTTTTATTTTCAAAGGGGAAAAAACAATGGAGCTCCGTATAGTATGTGGGATCAGAACAAAACAAGGGTCATAAAAAATTTGGCAGCATTGTTAGCAAAGACAATGCCTTGAAGCATAGAATATTAGATTAATTTTGATCTTAAAAAATAGTCATAATGCATTGCATGGTTTCTTCTTCTTGGTTTTCCATCTCCTAGGACTGTTCACTGTCATGAAATATGGGTAGAGAATCAGCATATTCTGCTTCTTCTTCTTCTTCTCTTTGCTTTAATTTCTCACTTGTCCATTTTCTTGGTGAAAAGATGGAAAGTTTGGTAGTCAAACAGAAAACAATATGTCCAAAAATCAGTTCCTAAGTCTCAGATAGCAAAATACCCTCCGGTAACTAGTAAACATAACAAAAATGTGTATACTTCAACGTTCATGTAACAATCAACTACAAATATATCATTAGAAGTATTATTCACCAAACGCATTATCAGAAAAAAATAATTAAAACTGCTAAATGAAATCTAAAGGCTACTCTTCAGTTATCAATCCAGAATAAAAAGAGAAACAACCCAAAAAAAGGACAAAAAAAAGACAGAAACTGCAGACAATGTTACACCATGAAACATGTTTAAACAAGAAGAAAAGCAAAACCCAACAACCATTCAACATAGAATGGAAAAACATTAAAAGACAAAGTACCTTAGAAAGAGAAAAAGAGCTTAAACCTTCTTGGCTTCGTTTCTTTCTTTCCCTTTGCTTTTGGAGTGGTTGTTGGAGGGTTGGGTTCGGGTTTTAATTCATCCCCTTCGATTGAAACAAAGCGGAGGAGGTTGCCTGCATTTAAGCACTCTGCTTCGGAGATGCAGCTGTCATGGTGGTGGGTCCCACTAGATTACGCTTGTCTCTAACCATCTGCCCTCTCCCCGCGGCGTGTTCAGGCAATGGCTTATGTCTGCTGGCCCCAGTTCCTGATTCTCTCTTCATTATCCAACTCATCACCTTTAGGGACGGCCTCGATCTTGCTTGACCAGGTCATCTAGCGCACCTGATCAAACTCTATGAAATCTCCAAATCACCCTTGGCGTTTACTTTCGACCAATTATAATTCCCGACCCTATTTCCTTCACCTACCCTTCCCCGTCTCAAAAATTACCCATGTGAGGCAGATTCGTACTAGGGATAACTTGTAAATAAATTGTACCTTTTTTTTTTGAATAGCAATAAATTATACCATACAACATACTTATAATGAACTTTATATTATACCATATAACATACTTATAATGAGCTTTATACTCTGTAAGCCAATTTTAAATATTGACAAACATCAAATTAATTACAAACAAACAAATCACTATAATTGCAGTATTTGAATAAATTTATGTCAATCGTCTAAACACGTATGTAGAACATCAAATCTCTCACATTAGATTATGATAATGACTATAGTATCATTTACAATTTTTACTTTTGGTAATATCAGTGATGGTACCACGAATTCATAACGCACATTCATCACCAATTATTCAGTTAATGAAAAGGAAGGAAATGTTTATTGAATTGTTATGCACTAAATTCAGCATATATCACCATTTCCAGAGTATTACTTTTTCTTAATGCGATATGTAGATTTGGGCTGTTAGCAATTAGAGTGATAATAATCAGGCAACAAACGAACAAAATGAACATTGGTCAGTCAGAGATTCTTGGGACCACCAAGGAAAGTTACATCAGAGGTGACATTCACGTGTCTCCATTTCTGTTCTTTGTTGGAATATCTCCTCTACGTGGAGGGGATCTTCCCTTGGGTTTTGTCACCGCAAAGTTTTCTGATTTAAGATCAGAAACGTTTTATCACTAGTTTTGTTTTATTGGCCAAACGGAATCAGATTTTTCCTATATAAATGTTTTAATTTATTACTACTAGAAGAGCACTCGTGATATGCAACAGATTTATAAAATTTCATAAACAGTTAATATTAAAAATTTAGTATAACATTTTTGAATGAATAGATATTAAAAATTGTTTATTTGTATTAACAATATGAGTATTACAATTGTTATAAACTGTTTAAAGAAAAAGAAATAAAATAATATAGTTGTTATGATGCAACTATAAAATTTGATGTTAAAAATGATATACAGTCATGTATAATATGATTATACGAATTGTGTTAATTTATAGTTTAAAAATTAAGAACAAAAAAATAAATAGTTACCAGTTGTGAAGTGCTGTGGATTCACTAACTATATAAGAATAATAAATGTATGTTTATATCTGGCATTACTAGAAAGCAAAAAAAAGATGCAATGAAGCATATTTGATTCTTAACATTTGAGATACATAGAAATAACAATTGTTACAAAAAATTTGTACAATACATTAATCATGAGATGATAATGTGTAAAAATTAACACCAAGCAATTTGGTAACCTCCCTTCTACTTCTTTCATAGTTTTTCAGGTTCAAGTTGTACTTTCAATAGTTTAACCCCTTGAACAAACCAAGAGTTCATGAAATTTATCAATTCACAATAAATCATCTTTATCATGTCATTTAAGCAACTTTGAGTTTTCTCTCTTAACTATAGTTAAAAAACTCAATTTTCACGTAATTCCTTCTAATTGACAAATACAATAAGCTCTAAACTTTTGGATTCCTCTCTGATCTCACCTTAGTCAATATCATAAAGAGTACTCTTACTTGATAACTTGAATTGTTGACATCTTTGCTTCTACAAGCAAGTCTACCTCTTGAAATTAACTTGCAGAGTCAGTTGTGGCATTAAACAACAAAAGTGATTCAAAAGATTCATTACTTAAATAGATAATATCCATATAGCCTTATGCTTTGGATTCTTTGCTAGCAACTTTGTCCATAGCATCGACAAATATCATTTGAAATTTCTTCATATTAACATACATATTTGAAACACATTCCCCGACCATGTTGCTGACCTCTCCACAATGTCATCATTTAATTAGTTCAAAGAAACAACAATGAAAACTAAAAACTGTAGTTGAAAAAGCATTATAAACAATTAATGAAGAAATATATGCTAATCCATAACAATCCTATGTGGTAAACACACTTGTTTTAAAGTTTTATAATTTAAAGCAAAAGACACAAATGATTAAATTATAGACTTAAGATTCCAAAAATAACTTTATCATACAACAAAATTATAAAACAAATTTCTCTCAATATTAACAAATAACAAAATAGCACAAACACAATCAGTTTTTTCATTTTACTTCACACAATATTCATAATTCTCTTATATTTTAAGTGCATAACTATTCTTCCTTTTAATTTAATTTAAGAATTTGAACTGAAATCAAAAGAATTAGTCAGCAATTGATTACATTAACAGCAAGATATAAAATGAACTCGTTTTAGTAAAATAACAAACTATTATAATTCTCTAAATGTCAACTCAACAATTAAGCTTCCTTTTATATTATGAGAGGGCCTAATGATCAACCATAGAAGTGTGGAAGAAAGTACATAATAGTAGAGACTAATATTGTTGCAAAAGATTTGCCTTTCAATATCAGGCACAAGGTATATTGGGCAATTAAAAAGCTTAATTTTGATCTTCAAGCAGTAGAAGAAAAGCATATTTTGTAACTTAATCAGTTAGATGAATTTCGTTAAGAAGCATATGAGAATGCAAGAATTTACAAAGAAAAGACAAAACGATGGTATGATCAGAAAATGATAAGGAGAAGTTTTGAGTCTAGCCAACATGTTCTCCTATACAATTCTTGTTTGAGATTATTTCTAGAAAAGTTGAAATCTCGTTGTTTTAGACCTTCATTATGATGAAAGTATAATATCATGGAGCAGTAGAGGTGGCTGATGACAAATCAACCTTCAAAGTGAATGGACAATGATTAATGCACCTTTGGGGTGGCAAGTTCAATTGTCAAAGGTCTTCAATTACGCTTATTGATTCACTTTGCATCAGAGACAGTCAAGCTAAAGACTATAAATCTAGCGCTTTTTGGGAAGCAACCCAAGCACTCTAACTTATGTAGACATACACCTATAAGTCAAACGTTGAATAGGTGGTTTGATTTGCATATAAGGTAAACATACACCTATAAGTCATATGTAGTCAGGATTAAAGCATAAATTTAATAAATCTTTTTTTAACTTAAGTTGCATAGACGTATAGTAAGTTAATTGGGAAATATATTTTTATGAGAAACTCGATAAAGACTTGTAAATAATTTAAAACATTAGGTTAGCAATTTAATCCATTAAGAGAGAGAGATAATAATCAAATTAAGTATTGAGGGACATCATAATCTTAAGTCTAAAAGTCAATCAAATTTAAAAAAAGTAACTTTGCTCAGTAAATTTAGATTAGTTTTAGTTTTTAAGTTTGATTTTATTTTAGTTTTTAATTTTAGAGTTTGGATAAAGTTAAGGTGTGTAATTTTAGTAATTAATAGTAAGAATTAATTCAATTTCTTGTGAGATTGAAACTTTACTCATCATTATATTATCTTTGCGATACATATACTTGCGTGGATAGTAACTTGAACAACAGATCACAACTTCATTAATTGAGTTTATCATTGTCTAGGATCATCTATGGATGGTCCAATCCTTCTTAGAGTGTATTGTGTCCGCAATAACTGTAATAGTTTTAATATATCGCCCAAGGAATGGTTTTGCATGGGCTTTGGCTAGTATATGGTGACGGCTATGCAGGGAACATCTGCACAAACAAATATGATTAAAGTCCTAATCCCATATGTACATTATAATGAGTTGTTTTTTTTTTGTTAAGTTTTTATTTATAAGAAATAAATACTTTTATATTTGTAAAATAATAAAAATTATTTTTTACTAGTAGATGAAGTAAGGTTTTGAGAGGTTATGTGCTTGGATATGGGATTGTGATATAGTTTTATATCATACTGTTTTACTTAAAGAAAGGCCTTGGGAGTTTGGAAAAGTATATTACTTTACTCAATTTTAATCTAACCAATTATTCACTAGGTAATCAAGTTAATCAATTCTTGCTTTATAATAGAATTCTAAGATGGAAAGCATTTTCCTTTATTTTGTTAGGAGTTAAGATCAATCTAATTTTTTATTTTTAATCGCAGATTCAAAACTTTCCACAACAACTTCTAGTTGACATGCATAAATGGTGGTTGACCTTTTTCAAGCCCAACAATAAGACTTTTTGGCTAGGCCATGGGGTGTGTTGTCACATCCCGATTCTAAGGGCATGATTGATGCAAGGGTCTAATGGATAGGGTCCACTCAGCCTAAGTAAGCCTTAGTAATAATGGATAGAATCAAACAGCAGAATATAATGCCATAAGATGCATCTCCATGTGTATGTATGTGTGTATACATATATCTCATGCTTAACATTCATAACAGAAATAAGTTTTAAAATAAAGAAAGTTATACACCATCTCGATAAAGTATGTAAACTTATTACAAAGAATAAAACAAAGTATGATAGACCCAACAAATAGACAGACAGAACTAAAATAGACAACGAAGTATGATATGAAAAAAGGGTGATGTTTATTAGATGCCTCATCGACCACTTACTATAACACCCCATACACTCGTGTAGAAGCCCATAAGACCTTATCGATAAA